ATATGAGGGACAGAAGATAGGAATTTATACTTAACTAGGTTGGAATTTAGAAGTATTTCGTTTGACTATAGCAGTAATCAGTGTTATAAAAGGGGATACAGAAAAAAAAAAAGATGCCTATCCAATAGTATTTTGCTACCATTATCAATGGTGGCCTTATTGCCAAAAGCATTTTTTGTTTGCTCCCAACGTTTTGATTTTGCTCTCCCAACTCTCCCAGTTGAGAAGGAACGCTTCTGTCACCAGTGAGCACCATCCTACTTCATATAGAGGAACCAGATGTCTTGTGGCAAGTTTTGTTGTATTTCAAATGATTTTTTGCCTGCACCATTTAGCATGGAGAGTAACTTGTGATGGCTCTGCATCTTTTCCAGAAATGCTTGCTCTAATGCTGCATTTGTAATTAAAGAAGCCCATTTGCCATTTCAGCTCCTGGGAGACCTGCAGCTCGGAAATTTAAAGCAGGTCCCTGGGCTCCAGTTAGCTACCAGCTTGCTTGCAAGAATGACTTTTAAGAATGTACATCTCTTGCCTCATTCAGAAGAGCTAGTGGTTGAGCTCGGGTAGATGGGGTTATGTTCTCCTTCGTTTCTGTATTGAAGGCTTCATCAAATGAAGTGATTACAGTTGGGATACAGCATGAATCTTCAATCTGATCTGCCTGCAAATTGCTGCATGCATGGTTGTGTCATAATAAGGGACGATGACTAAACGTCATCTGACAGCAAGACAAGACAGAGGGAGAACCCTTTGTCATGGTAATAGCTCTGCATTCACTGATGAAAGAGCTGTCTCAGAGGAGTGGGTCTTTCCAGCTGGCTGTGGGCTGCTGCAATAACAAGTATTAATAGATCCTGCAACCAGATGGATTCTGTGGAACAAAAAACACCTCTCCACACATCCTTGCAGGCTGTCTCACCTTCTTCGGGTGTGAAGGACTGCTCCCCAGTGTGCCATCCTGCTGGTCATCTGGCTACATGGTGTTGGCCATGTCACACAGTAGTATTTTTGGGGTAGGTGAGAGCGAATTGGGCTGACACAGAACAGTGATGTGGAACAGTCTGCCTGTGGGAGTAAGTGCTGCATCTTGGATGACACTGAACGTGATTCACAAGGAATGAGATTTTAACTCTTGGGTGTTTCGCACTGCAGAAGCATGTTTCAAATTTATTTTATTTTGTTGGCTAGAATTACAGTTGTTGCTGCTTCTGTGGTGACAAGTACAATCACTCTTGACACTGCTTTGAAATGCTTAGGAAATAGGGAATAGAGTCAGTGTTCAAGGTGATGGCAGACAACTCCATTCCTCAGACTGGCGCTGTGATGCAGACATGACTAGATTACACTGCCTTGCTGCTCAGATGGACTCCTCTACAGAGCCCTGGCAAGCCATTTATCTTGGAGACAAAAAGAGGAGCCTGACTGCAGGAGGCCCAGCTTTGTCAGTCTTCTGCAAGTGCTCCTGGTCTGTGTATCTGTTACCTGTCCTTGGAGAGTGAGTAGATGATATGCTTCTGGCAGCTCTCACTTGATTGAGGGTCCTCACTATAGACAAGCTAAAGGTGCTAGTAGACACAACCAGAAAAACTAGGAGCTAGTGGTACGTAGTCAGAGGCGTGGTGTGCTCACATGAGCTGAAGTCAGCCTTAAGGCTGGTGCATCAGGTGGAACTGGGATCACAAGTCGAGACAAAGGAAGTTGAAGCCACAAGAAGAAATGACGGCAGAGAAGGATGGACAGTACTGCAAAAGAGCACATTTGTGAACTTTGAAGTGGATTTGGGAGCTGTGTGAAGCATAAGGTGGATCTGGGACAGAAATGAATCACGCTAGGCTGGTTCTTGGAGTCAGTTGGATAGCTGCTCAAAGTCTCAGTAGTTATGGCAAAAATGCTTGTAGTGCACTGAGGATGATTATTTTTGTGCTTTGTAGCACTGGGAGTGCCTTTAGTAATATTTAGTTCAAAACACTTTGAAAACTTACTTAAACATTTATCAAGATGATGTTAAGTAAGAGATAGGAAGAAAGCTTGTAAAAGATAGCCTTTGAATTCAAAGCTGCAAAGAGTGGCAGCACTGAGAACAATGTAATCCAGCAGCTTGAGGTTGATAGACGGCTTCCCTGAAGCAGTGAACCTTTCATGGCAAATCCCACATCCTGTATACCTGTTTCACCCTGAGGAAATGCTGTCTGCTTTGGAGAGGCATCGAGTACCATGTCTCTTATACGGAGCTGCCTTGTGAATGCCGCTTGTTTGGTCAGGTCATGTACAACATGATTAGGTGATACAGGAAGATATCCTGAATAGCCAAACAGACAGGAAGCTGCTAACCCAGGTAACGCAAAGGCAGGCATTTCAGTACTTCCAGCACTGTTAAGGAAGTGGGAGTGGTAATCTGTGATAAATCCATTGAATCCTTGGTTTTTGGCTTTGATCTCTGCCTCAATTCTTACTCCATGTTGCGTAAGCACATCTTGTTCATCTGTAAATGAAATGAGTATGCAATAGAAGTAAAAAAAAATGAGTTTACAGAAAGCACATTTTAGTGCAGGCCTAAATGATTTCCCTTAGTGTTTATTTTTAGCTGGGTGGGTAACCCAGCTTGTGGTTTGTAACCCACAAGCACTTCTCTCATTCTTTTTTGATGCAAATTAGGCCTCCCACACCATTAAATCGTTTTTTACTGACTATTGAGCCTGTGAAGAAATGGATTGAACTTTAATATGCTACATTACTGTACCATAAAATACAATTTGTAGATCTTATTCAGATTCTGTGTTGCTGCACTTCCTCTAAATAATTGTTATTACCGAAGAAGATTTACAGGCACCGTTGAAAGAAAGAATAAGTACTCCCTATTTTCTATGCATTGAATCACAGGCTGTGCATGATTTCACATCTAAACCACCTTGCTCCTCATGCTTTTTTGAAATTAAACAAGTCACATTATGCTGTTAGTTGCTAATAGAGATTTTAATACAGCAGCAGCCAGAACTTCTGCTGCCTTCAAATAGTGCCAGGATTTCACCTCTTCTTTTGCTCTGCTAGGGCTGTGCTAAGTGTTTATCTTCAGGCTGTGAATCGTCACTTTGCACATCTCCATCCTCATTATTACCACATGTATAGCATCAGCTGCTGCACAGCTCTTGGCAGGAAAATGCTCTGTTCTTTGGGAAGCACAAGTAAAATGCTGTCCTCCCACAAACTCTTGAATAAGGTTGTGCGCATACTCAGCTTGACAAGATGGATGGCCTTCCTTTCTGCTATTAGATGGCTGCACCCTCTTGGAGCCGAAGAAAGGGATGCATACTGAGATTTTGTAATGATTAACCAGACAGAAATGTATATGAGTCACTTTTTAAGTACATTTAAGCTCTTACCAAGGAGCTGTTGTGCTCATGTTGACAGCCTCGGAGAAGGATGTTTATCTGAAGTACAACTTTGGGAGGGCTAAGAAATATTCCAGCTTTTTATCGATGTTGTCTCACTCTGCTCTCGGGAGGAGCACTTAGATCTGGGTGTTAAGCCATGCTGCCACCTCAGTGGACATCATGGTCAGCATGCCAGCAGCAGAGCTAGCTGTGCTCCCAGGCTCACATATGATGGGCTGAGGAGGAGCCTCTTCTGTTCAGGCAGGGCTGGCGCTGGGATGCTCTCCTGCTTGCCTCTTGGCCAGCAAGCTCCATGTCAGTATGCCAAGTCCCCAGAGTCTTCATGGTCTTCCTAGCACTCCAAACCTGTCAGTTTAAGAGCTGTACAAGAGACCTTATTTTTAAAGCTACTTTACTCCCGCACAGAGTCTTTCTGAGAGCATACCTTTGAAAGTAAGGGCATTTAAGGTTGGATCTAAATTCAGAATTGTTTATCTAACTCTGGAGCCTGAACTTGTCATTTCAAATTGAACTCTAGAGCTGTCAATACCTACTTTACTACCACATCACTTAAAAAAAATAAAGGGACTTCAAATTTTTCCAGTAATAAGGGATAGAATGCTAACAGGTTATGGACCAAAGGGTGATGTACAAAGAGAAAATTATTTTATGTACATGCATGGATATACACACACCTGCCTATAAAAAAACAATTTCCCTTTTCATTTGTGTGTCGATGAAAATGGAATATCACTTCTGAAGCCTTCTGCTAGAATTTAATGCATATGAAATCCTGAGAAGTTCTAAAATCTAACAATGAAATACATTTAGAAATTTGTTTAACTTAAGAAAAGATTTGATTAACAAACAAACTGACAGTCAAACATCTCAGTGTGCCTTTGTAAGAAAAATGCCAGCATCATTGCTAAGAGATGAGAAAGCAAATTACCGAGCAGTCTCTTCCAAAAGCTGCTTTTAATTTCTGTAGAATATGTGTGAGGAGGTAAGTTTGTGAGTATGCAATATAAATAAGTCTCTGTGATGTAAGCCTTTGGATTTTAATGGAGACTTTGAAAACTTCAGAGACAGCTATTTCGTAAACTAGACAAGTAAGCAGAGGAAAAACACTTTTAATTATTTTTTCAAAATATGGAAATACTCTTTTGAATAAGTTATTTAACATCCAGCTTGGTCAGATGTGTTGTATTACTCTGACATGTTTAAACTACTCAGTAGACAGTAATGGCTTATTCTGTCCTCTGTTTCCACAGATTACTTGGAAACACACATGATGGCTCCAAGTGGCCACCAGCCCTGCTTCCTCAGAGCTCGGTTCAGCACATGTTTACATCCCCTCTGAGGAAGCGCTCCAGTGTATCACTAAGGCCATCCTCTCTCAACATCTAAAGAGGTCCATCAAAGTCTGTGTAAAGACTTTAACATTACAGAATATTCATTTACTGTCTCCACTTTGTGTTAATAAACACTAAATAATCATAATAAGCACTGTGCAGGATGGTGACCTCGTGGTTTAATATGTTTAAGGAAGATGATACATAGTTAAAATGAAGAAAGGTGTCTAAATTATTTCAACTAATGGTAGGGTGTTTTTGTGTTATTTTTTTTCAGCTGAACTTTTCATGGAACAGCAGCATCTCAAAGAAGCAGGCTTTTGTATCCAGGAGGCAGCTAGTCTTTTCCCCACATCTCATGCTGTACTGTACATGCGTGGGAGGCTTGCAGAGATGAAAGGCAATTTGGAGGTGGCTAGGCAATTGTATGATGAGGCGCTCACAGTGAATCCAGATGGAGTCGAAATTATGCACAGCCTGGTGAGTTTGCAGGGGCTCAGCTCCATTATCGTATGTACATTCATGATTAACTGTAATAAGATGGAAGAGGGTTCATGCTTGCTCTGAATGCCACTGTCTTCCTAATCCTTACAGCAAGTGACTGTTTCAAGAGTAAATGGGGTAGCCTGAACCTCTATTTTAAGATTAGATCAAATGTTTTTAACTAATTAGTACTTGATCAAAAATAAATACTTTAATTGACAAATGCTGATAGTTTTGGAAATTCTCTGCTTGATCGTCCTTACCACTTTTTCTACTACCTGTTACGCATTTTAAATAAGGAATGTATTGATGTTAAGAAGTTCTGAAATAACAGCTATATAGATATATATGGGGTTCGTAAACCTTGAGCCAGAGTCATGTCTACTCACATAAAGACAAACTATGAGTTTATGATAAAACTATTGTCTTAAGCTGAGGCTTAACTCCAGTCTTTTATAGGAGCAGTGACTCCTTATTTGATGCTCATGGGTGGTTTTTTTTGGTAGCATTCCTATCTGACAAATATTTTTTTCTGTTGCACCGTCCCTAAAACACACTTAGAGACATAAGGCCTATGCTTTCAGGTTGTTGTTGCTATCAATTTGTTATTTTTATTGCTATTGTTATTATTATACAAGATGCTGTGTAGATGCTTAAAACCCACTTAATTTATGAAATCAGAACTTTTAATTGTATTTCATCAGTGATGTATCTTATTAACTATAGCCCTCATTGTGTCTCTCTTGAGTTTTATAAGACTTTCTTGACCAGTTTAATTTTTACAGGAACTGTGTATCCAGGTGACTACTTTATGTCTTTGCTAGCAGAGCTGTATTCTCTGGTGTCAATTTAAGCATGATAAGGTTTGCAGACAACTTCAAAACTGAAGGGCTATCAGTGCACAGGAGGACAAACATACAGTGAAGTGATGATCAAGGGAAAGTAGTAGCTCCTACAGGCAAGGGAGGAGAAAGCTGTAAGAACTTTTGTTCAGTGCAAAACCAGTAAAAGAATAGCTACTGCATTTGTCAGGAGGAGGTCACAAAACAGCCATGCACATACCATACTCATATGCTTAATGGAACGGTAGAATTTACTTGGTTGTGATCCGACCTTTGCACAATCTCGAAAGCCAGAATGATATGCTTTGCTTAGTTATTGTCATGATTTCAGACAAGTAACCAGTATCAGGCAAGCCATTGAGTTAGATGCCAACATGGTATAAATATCTCTCATTTTGTCTTACTTCATGAGCAAAGCCACATACTGTGTCATCTCATTTCAGTTACTTGCAATTTTCTGAAACTGTAGTCATTTGGAATAACATTTTCTGAGATGCTCGGTTTTCTTTGGAAAATGTCACCCAGCATGGCTTAACTCTTTCTGAAAATGAGGCTAAAGAAGAGGCTTTAAAGGTTTCTGTGATGTCTTCTTTATTGAGCTGTGATGTTCCCACTTTCTGTCAGATGTGAGTGGTTTTCATAACATATTAATGTGCTTTTCTTAAGAAAATCCTTCCAAGGTCATCCAAGTTACAATCTTTAATAAACACATTTTGTGTACACTTAGTAGATTAGTATTTCTAAACTCTGTATGGATACTCTTTTCCCTCAAGACCCAGTAAGTTCCACCATCTCTTAGTGAAGGTATGGGACTAAGATCAAGGAAGAGGCAAAGAAGACAGAGAGATGCAGAATTTGAGTGTAAGGACTAAATTTATGAACAAATATGGAAAAGGAAAGGCATAATAGTGATGGAGAGAGAGAAGGATGGATAGTAAAGTAGATGCAATAAGTGCAATAAGGTAGATGATGCTGGATATGGCTGGACAGATGAGAAGAATGAGACTGGATTAAGAAACCAGGCGAGGCATATGAGGAACTGAACCTGTGAGAGTACTTCTACTCCACAGCTCTTGGTCTCCATAAAATCTTTCTGTTCTGGTATCAGTAAATATCGGTGAAAATGACTTGTTTATCTGTGTTCCTCATCTCCTTTAGCTTGGCATGCTGGCAGCTGATGGTTTACACCTGCTAGCTGCAATATCAAAAGGCTGGTCTGTCTCTGCTGAGATGAAGCACAGCAGTAGTTCTAGGATGCCACGTAACGGCTTTCCTTTCTGTGCTTTTCCAAAAGTGAGGAAATTGCACATAGCAAGTTTGAAGCATCTGATGAGCACTATTGAAAAGCCTATACAGAAATTAATCATTCTGCCTTCAGAATAGAGCTTGAATAACGCATGGTAAACAAGGCTTTTATGGACTATGCATTAAAAAGAAAGGGCAAAAGTAAAATATTGAGAGGCTGCTAGCTATGTGAATGTCTTGTATACTGAATGAGACAGTGTCCTCATGGAGAACTTAGATGAGATTTAGGTAATTGAAGATGCAGCGAAGCAAGTGGTGAAGAAGGTGAATTTTGCACCTCTTTGAGACCATCAAAAGAAAGCTGAATACCCTTCTGAAAGGTGTGTGTTAGATAAATACTAGCCATGCTGTTATTAAAAAAACAGGTTCTTGGGTATAGCTGATTCTTCCACCTACTTGAGGGAAATGTGTGACTTAGGTTATGCCAGAGGCCAAACTGTATTATCAACTAGGTACAGGGGACTTAAAGCTATCCAAGCTGAATACACAGACAGCTGACATTAAATTCACATGCAGTTTCAATGCTGGTCTCCAAAAACATTTGAGCACTTAGTTGTTACTGTGTAATGATTTAGGGAAAGTGGAACTGGTTATGAGAACTACTGTCTGACTTACTGCAGTTGCCATCCAACTGGCCTAGTCCACTTTAAGGGAAAACTGCTGTAGACAGTGCTGGTTCTCCCTGGTGTACCAGCATCAATTAGCAAAGTAGTCATGTCTCTTCCCCTGGGCTCCCAGAACTGGGTTGTCAAAGCTATATTTGGAAAGTTCCAACTTGAAGAGTGTTGCTGGCTGTAAATGAAGGGCACAGATGTAGCGATGAATGCGTCCACTGGGTGTCAATAACTTTTACTCAGGGCAGAGTCACCACCATAATAAACACAAGCTCTCTCTGCACAGCTGAAAACAATTGTGTTTTACTGTGACCGTAGGTGTTTACAGTAGCTGTCAGTTTGGTGTGCTTTCCTTACAAAGCTCCCTTCTGCGTGGGAGCTGCAGGTGCAGCAGGGATGTGTTGCTGGGTGTCCCTGAAGAGATGGGCAGCACACTCGGCCTCACCGCAAGGCTCTTGGCAGCTCTGGTGTTTGATACTGTGGTAAGCAAACCACGGGCACGTAGGAAATACTAGACTAGGAGCAGTGCTGCTTCCTGCCAGAACTTGCAGTTTGTAAGTGGTGTTGCAGGATCCTTAAGCTCCTGCTGAGAATCCATCGATGGCCTTTACAAAGTAGATATTAAAGAAAGCTCTCACTGAGAAGTTACTGTCATTGGGAAGAACATAGACAATCAGGCTTTGGGGCTATTTGGAACTTATCAAAGAATCAAATTATTCCTGTTGAAGTATAGAGTTATCATTTGGTTTGATTTGCTGTCAGAAACAGGCTGGCTTGATACCTAGAAATTGTACATGCTATAGGAGCGCAGCTCTCTTCAGGAAATAAGCCTTCCACGTTTCTCCTCGTTCATACATTTCCATCTTCCCTCCCTTTCTATAAGAGTTCCATTCTTGTCAAAATAAGACTTTCTGGGGCCTTTCCTGCAAGAATCAGCCCTGTAGACGGGCTAGTGGGATAGATGTCTTCACTGATGCACAAGGAAGAGCTTGTCCCTTACCCCCTCATACTGCACAGTGACTAGACAGCTCTGTCACATCCTAATCAGTTTGCCAGCATATTTCAAAACCCAATAGCAAATGCTTATTTCTCTCATTACCTACCTAATACATAATTCATTACATACGTAGCTTTGGGACAGTGGTAACAAAACTGTCGTGTGCCCAACCAAGTCAGAAAATGAAACATAAGCTGCAACAGATGACGCTCCCTTATAAAGCAATATATGACTCTATCTACATGTATGTCACTGAGGAAGAATGTTGAAGTTTGCTAGTTCCCACTAATTGGTGCCTTGAGCACCATTCTCCCTTTTGATTCAGAGAAGGGAAAAATCAATGCCAGTGTGTTGAATTTGAGTCCAAATGCTCAGTATGTAACACTGTAATACAAAGTAAAAACATTCTGAGATATTCAGAAGACTCTTGCCCAGCAAACATCTCACATAGCAGAGATGTTTCACAGAGCTAGAAAAAAAATTAACATTTTAAGGGAAGGAGAAGGAGAGACATGTATTTCAAAAGGAAGGAAATGAGCATTTTCATCTCCCTCACTACATCAGAGTTAATGAATACAACCTGGGACTTCCTGAAATAGATGTAGGTTTTATTTGTTTAGTAATCCACAGTACATTACTCCTTTGTGAGCTTGTCCTGTCTGGAGCCTGTGTTAGTTTTCAGATTCGCAATGCCCTTCAGCAAGGAGGCTCACGGGTCTGTTCTCTGCTCTGTAACCTTGTATGTCAAATTTTGTATGTTCCTGCTGCAGCTCCTCCCAGCCACACTGATCCATTTCATGTTCCCCATTCTTCCCGTGGAAGATATTGCACGCCATCGTTTGTTATTCATCCCCTGCTGCTATTACTGATTTCATAGATAACTGAGACAGAACTGATCCCATTTCTTTCATTGTTGTATTGCCTCTCTCTACACTCTTTACAGTTCTTTCTTAGATGAGAAAACTTAAGCAAATAGCACACTTACAAAAAATACTGTGTTTAATATTTAGCTTAGCTTCAAAGACAGTGGTGTAGATTCAGTGCGTACAGAAAACACCATATTATCCTTTGGTCTTCTACTCATGTAAATTATTACCGATATGCATTTCCATACAAATACAGCAGACTAGTTCAATTGCTTTGTATTAACCTGATCTCATTACGGAAGCTCTATTTCCATCTCCTGTGCCTGTTGGGGCTAGTTTTGTTGGCTTTTTTCTGAAAGGTCAGCAGCTCTAA